TTTCCCTCTGTGTGTGTCTCTGTATTGTAGCTTCATTCCTTTCTGAGAAGTGTCTCATTCAACAACAGTGTGGGTGAAAAGATCTCCTTTGACAAAAATGGAGAATTCATTGGTGGATTTGATATCATCAACTGGATCACATTCCCAAACCAGTCCTTTCTTAGGGTTAAAGTTGGAGCAATTGATCCCACAATTCCACCAGATATGTTCTTCAATATCTCTGTAGATTCTATCACATGGCCAGTAGGCTTTAATCAGGTTAGATGTATATCTGCCTTCCTTTATATAGCATAAAATAATATCTCTATTGATGGAAGTTCCATAGCATTATTTCTGAGCTTACCTATGTACACATGCCTTGGAGAAAGAAAAGAATAGATATAAGAATGTTTACATTTCAAATATTTGGTATAGAATATTGCACCCTTTTCTTTCCCTCCATAGGGCCTCTAAATTAGGTATGGAAGTGAAAACCATGGTCTTCTAGTCTTAGCTACTAGACTTCTTCAATCTGGTGAAGACAGAATTGAAGAGCACCATCATTCCCTACCCAGCACAGAGAACATCTATTGAGACTGGGGATGATGTTTATAGAAGACCATAGATTCAGTAATAGTAGATGTGTAGTGAGTTCATTGGAGACTAATTATTGTTTCTCAAAAATTACATCATGCTATTTTAATTTTCTTTATTGCTCCCTTTTTAATTTGTTGATTCCCAATAATAGTACCTCTCCATATATTTCCTTTTCCGCTATATCTTAAAATATTCTTCTTTATTCATGGATAGGCATCACCTTTTTCTCTGTGTAATGATCCTTGTGAGGCAGGATACAGCAAGGCCAAGAAAGAAGGGAAGCCGTTTTGCTGCTATGATTGCCTTCTGTGTCCAGAGGGGAAAATATCAAAGGAGAAGGGTAGGAAGTTTCTAAGTATAATGGCACTAAACCATTAGGTAGAACACTATGTATAATCTACTATATCCACAGCTGTTGTGTTCTTTTTCAGACGTGAATGACTGTTCTCTGTGTCCAGATGACCATTATCCAAACCCTGATAGAAATAAATGCATACCAAAGCAGATTACCTTTTTGTCCTGTGAAGAACTCATAGGGATCAGTCTGACTGCTCTTTCTCTTAGTTTTTCTTTAATGACAACTTTGGTAGTCACAATCTTCATTAAACACAAAGACACTCCTATCGTCAAAGCCAACAACCGGAATCTCACCTATGCTCTCCTTGTTTCCCTCCTTCTCTCTTTCCTTTGTGTGTTTCTATTTATTGGGAGACCCAATAAGGCTGTGTGTCTCCTTCGACAACCAGCTTTTGGTCTCATCTTTTCGGTGGCGGTTTCTTGTGTATTGGCCAAAACCTTTGTGGTGGTTTTAGCGTTCATGGCCACCAAACCTGGTTCAAGAATGAGGAAATGGGTGGGCAGAAGAATAGTCAGTTTTATACTTTTTTCCTGCTCCCTTATTCAAGCCAGCTTTTGTGCTGCATGGCTGATAATGTCCCCACCATACCCAGACTTTGATGTGCACTTCATGACTGAAGAAGTCATCATGGAGTGCAGTGAGGGATCAGTCTCCATGTTCTACTGTGTCTTGGGCTTTATGGGTTTCCTGGCCGTGGTCAGCTTCTCTGCTGCTTTTCTAGCTAGAAAGTTACCAGACAGTTTCAATGAAGCCAAATTCATCACTTTCAGCATGTTGGTGTTCTGCAGCGTTTGGCTGTGCTTTGTTCCAACCTATCTAAGCACAAGAGGAAAATATATGGTGGCTGTGGAGGTCTTCTCCATGATTTCCTCCAGTGCTGGCTTACTGGTATGTATCTTTTTTCCCAAATGTTTTATCATTTTGATGAGACCTGAACTGAACAGTAAGCATCAGCTGATGAAAAGAAAGTTTTAAAATATGTCTGTTTGCCTCAAATCCTGAATTTATATCTGTTGTAGATTTTTTCCAAGTGTCCATTTAAGCCCGAGAGCAATATACAATTATATTTGCCTATTGTAGGTGCTTGTCTGATGGAGCAACCTGCCCCCTGGGTTGGCCTTTTGGTAGGTTGTGGGGACCTGGCTTCCCCCCCCCCCGATATTGGGGGCATCCAAAATTTTCTTCTTCATTTGATTGGTTACAGTATTGAGCTATATAAATAATCATTTTAACTTTACTGGTTGATTTAATTCATATGTACATTAGAATTTGTATAGGGGAGTGTGGATTCTGAAGTAATCTATTCTCTATACAATAGAGCTTTTGGTTTAAAATGAGGCCAATGAATTGTTTCTGAGGCAACCACACACTGGGAATTCTTAGGTACTGTACAGAGTAAGGAAGTTGACCTTGAGGGAGATATTCAGTCTCCACTGCCCAGGCAAAAGGGAATAAAACATATTTAAAGTACACAATAAGTTAACATTTGGAAGCAGCACAGGTAGATGCCTCCATAACACACTGAACTATAAGGAGGAAGATATACAGCAGAATCAGATTTGCAAGATTTTGTCATTATAGCCAAACTCAATAAAAGTAGTTCAGAAAAGAAAGATCTTTGCAATTTACATAGAACCTCTTTGCCAATTCACCATCTGGAAGAATACCATGCTCTGCTTCTACACTTGCCAATTCTCCTGTTGCACAACTAGACCAATTTTTTCCATCCTTTAGAATTTGGGATGAGATTTGAAATGGATGAGTGCAGGTTAAGGAATGTATGATAAAATAGGCTAAGAACTTTGGTTACAGTATTCAAATGGATCAGCCAGAGAGAGCATGGTTAAAAGGTCTGAAATTCACATTATAATATGATTTAAAATATTTTTTTAATAAAATTATGTATCGTTGGTATATGTCACCAGAAAAGTTGTCTAAGATGTATAAAGGTACTTTTAATTACTGTTGGAAATATGAAAAGCATGAAGGGACATTTTACCCTGCATGATGGACTTGTGAAAAAGTAAAAAATACTGGATACAAATATATACAATGATACAGAGAATTTTAAAGTTTAATATTCAGTTGAAACAGGATATTTTTTTAACTGGGGCTCAAGGACAGTTAACTAGAAAATATTCATGGATGATTGGTTTTATATATGTTAACTGCAGTGAGGCTAATATAGAGATGCAAGAATATAGAAATACCCACAATGAAGGAGTGGACAGTACTCGACAGTTTCAATGAATCCAAATTCATCGCCTTCACATGTTTGTCTTTTGCAGTGGTTGGTTGTGTTTTATTCCAGCCTACTTTATCATTGTGTTTGGACCTGAACTAAAGAAGAAGCACCTACTAATGAAAAAAAAGTACTGAAAACTGAAATTTTGCCATAAACCAAAGGAAGAAACTGGAACTTGGTAGTCATATTCAGAAGGATTTTTTGTGTCATGAGGAAACTTTAGGCTGATGGTAACCAAAGGGAAAGAGTTCATCCTGGTGCTCCATTCGCAGATTTAGCCAGAGTCCTCTTTACTTTCTTAGGATTTCAGATCAGCTAGATAGGATCGAGAAGATCATTGAGATTTTGTTTACTTTCTCAAAGGCTGAATGGGAGTATCTGCTCAAGGCTGCTTTGTTAGGAAGGGTGGCCGTCCTCACTTCTAAGAATGAAATGGAAGATATTATTGCTCCATCCTGTCTGCCCCAGTTGCCTTTCAGAACAGTTGAAAGAGCTCTTGGAATACTGGAAGGGGGCAGATGACATGAAGCAGCTGATGAAAGTGAATCACATGGCCTTCACAACCCAAAGTGCCTCATCAAAGCACTTGAAAGCTATATATTATAGGTTTCAGCTATAAGAATGAGCTATCTTTGTGTTAATATCTTATCCTGGATGTTATCATCTTCTTAAGTTCTACCTTATTGTTTTCAATGTTATTTTATTATATGGCTTATTCTTAGTACTTTCAATGTAATATTGGAAACAATTTTAATAGGCTTAATCTGCTACCTCCTAAATTTTTCATAACTCATTTGGGGTTTCTGGTTGTACTGTTCTGAATTTCCTTTTGCTATTCTCAGTCATGTTTTCATACTTAATAAAGTCACGGAACTCAGAATATAAAAGACATTCCCATGTTCTCATAACGTTTATTAAAATTCATACGGGAGTATAATGAATTGTTTGTTATAATAATGATAATTAATTTGTCAGTTTTAGGATATATTTTATACCCCATCAAATTTCTCTGACACTTGGAATCTTAAATGCACAGTAATTATTTTCAAGATAATTCATAGAAATCTATCTATGTGGTTGCTAGGAGTCGAAAATGACTTGATGGCACACAGTCAATCAATCAAATTATTTTCAAATGTCATTCTCTGAAATCCAAATATATTTGCCTTTCCATTTCTAAAATATAACTTAAAACATGTTAGCCCTTTCTAAAGGCTGCATTAATATGTTAGTATAACAGAGCAGACATGTAAGACTTTCCCCTGTTTTCTTTTAGCTATTTGCATCTAATCATCTGGGAACATCTTCACGCTGCTGTGTCCTCATGATGTTGATCCCAGCCTATGAGTGAGACCACCTTAAGTCACCTTGAACTGTACCAATGTTAGAGTCTTATTTCCCCTTTAACCCAACAGCAACTAGCAACAATTTCCATGAGTGACAAACCTGACAAGCTTTTCCTCCCATGCTATTGGTGATGTAATCAGATGACCCATAAGGCAGGATCAGCTGGTGCTTATTAACTTCTTCCAGCTGGACTGGGC